CAGGGGAACCAATATATCAACGACCATACACCATACCTATATCACGGCTAAGCAAAATGGATAAAGAAGTGCAACAAATGCTGGATCTGGGCATCATCGAGAGGTCTGATTCACCATGGTCTTCACCCATCATATGGATAGAAAAAAAGAGTGGTGACATCAGACTCTGCCTAGATGCGAGGCAAATCAACAAACGAATAATACCAGACAGGGAGTGCCCTATGAACATGGAAGAAATTATGTTGAAGTTCAAAGGAGCCAAATATCTGAGCACCATCGACTTAACTGCGGGTTACTGGCAGTGCCGACTTAAAAAAGAAAGTCGACCTATTACAGCGTTTCTACATCGAGGGCGGAATTATCAATTCAAGGTCTTACCTTTCGGTCTCGTCAATTCTGTAGCGGAATTCCAAAAAATTCTGAATCAGGTTTTGGGACCGGAAATATTAAAGTTTACTGCTACTTACGTAGATGATATACACATTACGTCAACAACATTCGAAGAACACATGCGTCACCTAAAAGCCATCTTTGGACTAACCGACAAATAATAAGGGACAGAGCGTGCAGAGCACCTGCAGCCGCCGTTATTATCTGCGTGGCTGCAATACGATTGCGCGCGGTCCTTATCAGCGGTACCTTTTTAGGCGTACGATTGCGCGTGCTAAATTATTTTTACTTCTAAGCAACGTTGCCAAATACACAGATTATAGGTGCACCGTAAATATCAGTTTACTAGTGCTCATCCACCGACATTTGTTGTTATAAGTACCCTTATGGAAACTCAGGCAGAAACCGTCAATAAATAATCAACCATTTTCAAAGGAAAAATCAAGCCAAAATCGAAGGAAGAACTAAAGAAAATCAAAGTTATGAGTAAGCAATACGAAGAGTATCTAAAAAATAAAACGCCAGAAAATTTACTTAAGTATTTAGCCATAATTGGAAATAGGTATCAGGGATTTAAAATTTAAATTATTTTATTTATATTATTTTATTATAAAGATATTTTTTGATACCTATTCAAATATTTAATATTATTTTATTATAACGATTTTTTTTTTTAATGAATATTTTTTTATTTATAATAATTAAATAATTGAGAAAAAATNAAATCAATTTTCAGATTAATATTATTTTATTATAACGATTTTTAAAGAATATAAAGAATCTGTTTTATTTTGTGTTATGGATTTAACGAGATATAATTTAACCAAATTATTATTTGTATATAATGTGATTTTGTATCGAAATTGATGATTTTCAATCATGTACCAATTATCGTTTTTTTTTTTTAATTTTTTGACCTAAAAAATTGAATTTAGAAGATATCACTGGGCTAGTCAAAAATTTGTTTTTTTTTTATAATAATAATTATTTTATACTTAAATAATAATTTGGCAACGTCGCATCCAATTTCACGCGCAATCGTACGCTTTTGAATAGGCAAAAGCATGATTATTTGTTATTCCGGCACCGCGCGCAATCGTATGCCCAAAAAGGTAAAACGCGCGCAATCGTACTCCACCGATCTGCGTGCTGCCGCCATCACTACCTATCTGCCGCCGACGTCACTACTTACGTATCGTCACCCTCCACGTTCTCGGCTACCTCCCGGAGGAAAGCTAGAGCGTGCCAATCAACTGTCGCCGCCGTCGCAAGTTACGTACCACTGCGCAACACGTTCTCGGCTACCTCCTGTGGGAAAGCTAGAGCGTGCCGCGCACTTACCGCCGCCATGCTACGATAATACGGATTGAACGCAGTATCATCATAGCCAGTCATTAATGAAACTAGTGTTATCGCGACGCCCGACAATAGTATTGCAACCGTCGACATTAGATATGAATATAGCATAGAAATTTAAGTCTGCGAAACCGTGAGTAGTTTAATATTACTAATTGTGAATGGGTATAGAGTATTGTAAAATCCGCGAGTTATATTGTATATTAAAAAGACGTATTACTAACGTAAAAGCATACGTAAATATAATACTACATTTTGTTTGTATTCTGATTTATTATATGTTTATGTGGTATACAAAATTCTATAATTAATAGGTATGTTATAAATCAATAAAGATTAATATGATTACCTAAAAAACCCCGGCATTGCGATTTCTTTATATTTGTAAAGGATTAGGTACAACACCTAACCGTTACACCCATCAAAGCAAATTGCAATTGATTCAGTCACTCTTCTTCAACACTTCAAACCATCAGTATTCAAGTCATTCATCATCTTGATACTTACAGTCTTGTCTACTCATTGAAGTAAAAGTTAACGTATTTCCTACTCAACATGGGCGCCCACCGCGGTGGACGTAGACACTCGAAGAGGCCCAACCCCTCTCCAGATCCCACGGAACACAAGAAGCAGAAACAACAAGGTCGGCAACGCAGTGCACCTCCATCTTCAGTACAGACTGAAAACGGCTCCATCTCCAGCGAGTCATTCGAAAGCAGCTCCGCTTTGAGTCTAAGCTCAAGCTCCACGTCACCCACTCCACCACCTCAAGATATCCAAAAGAAACGCATCCCACCAATAATCGTGGACCCGACCTACTAGGCTACGGCTGCACAAATGATCATGCCTTCATTCACCCAGGACAAACTCACAGCCAAGTTCTCTCTAAACAACATCAAACTCCAAGCTGCAGACACAACCACCTTCCGTTCGGTACAGGCCGTTATGGTAAACGCCAACATGCCTTTCCACACCTTCTCACTACCGGCAGAACGTCAACTCAAAGTGCTGCTCAAGGGCGTCCCAAGCTACAAAACCTAGGATTCTGTGAAATCTGAGCTCGAATCACTAGGATACACCATCTCTCACGTGCGCCAATTCCTGAAAGACGGGAGGAAGCTGCAGATGTACATGGTGTGTCTCCCAAACACCCAGTTAAGCAAGAACATATTCAACCTAACCAGTCTATTCTAAGTAATCATCCACGTAGAGGCCTACAAAACACCAGGACCATCCCAGTGCTTCACATGCTATTCCTCAGCTAATTGCAAGGAAATCCCTTGAAATGCGGCAACGACCACGCAACCAAGACGTGCACCAAAATGTTGCGACTGCAATGGTGAACACAAGGCCAACTACCGTTAATGCCCCGCCTACATCAAGGTTAGGTTAGGTTAGGTACTATCACTTGATATTTTTTTATTTTTCGTTATAATCTACACAAACAATTTACGAGTATAGATATTTTTTTCAGTTAATTCTATCTCTCGAAATGCAAATAATATACTATATTATGGCGATTTGATTGAAGTTATAATCCAAAAAGGATTTATGCAATGTATAACTAGTATTTGATGTAGAAAATGTTTGTATGAATTTATTCAAGGTACATATTCAAATATTTCAAACTGTTCCAGTTCGTATAAAGAATTGTTAGAAAAAGAAATTTTAAAATTTAGTTTGACAACTTCTAGGAAGTGGTCTAAAGTTAATAGAAATTATAAGAAATTTACAAAAACTAATACCAAATGGCTTAACACTAAATTCAAAATGCCTTCGAATAAAAAATCAAATTTATCTATTCCTCGTCGACCAGTTAATCCATTTGCATCTTGTTCTAAAAGAACACAGAGACAAAAAATAAAAATATCAATTTCAAATTCAAATATAAACTCGCCGGAAATTTTATGCGCTGCAAAAAATAAATTGGTTTTGTCTGGCCAAAGAAGTGCTGCTCAATTGTTTGAGGAAACGCAAGCATCTCCAAGTAGAGCTAGAAAAATTAAAACTAAATATAATTATTCGAACTATCCAATTCCCTATATAGCAGATGAAGCTTTAGCGTTTATTATTGATAATAAGCTCACGAAACAACAGTATATATATATTCGTCTGGGTTCAAAAAAAAGAAATTGTAATATATACCCAGCGTATGAAAATATAATTATAGCTAAGACAAACTGTTACCCTAATAATATGGACATAATCAAGTTGCAAAATACCACTTCAAGATCTGTTAGATCACACTACTTATAGAATATTTCAATTACCAGAAGTATGTAAAATTAATTTAAATTTGACAAAACTTGAAATGTTGTATAAATGGGGGTGTGATGGCAGTAGTGGCCAGTCTCAATGTAGACAAAATTTTAATGATGATTCTTTAATAACTGATGGAACAATGTTTATGTTTTCAATTGTGCCTCCAGAACTTCGATCTCATTCTGAAGTTAATGATGTCGAAAATAATTATGAAGTTATTTGGACTAATCCTTCTCCGTCATCCACTAAATTTTATCGTCCAATCAAATATATGTTTAAAAAAGAAACTATCGAGACTACTAAAGAAGAAGTTCAAAAAAACGGCCGGTAGGCGCGTGACGATCGCGGCCTACTTTTCGTCGACCGCACTATAGACGTCGATACGCGGGCATTACTGAGTACTGACGACGCGATACATTGCGGGTTGCCTACCTCGACGACCAACGGCGACAAATTCGCCGAACGCCTCCTAGGGTTAATCGACTATCGGTTACGGTCTAGACTAGACGTCCGACGAACGCCCTCGATGCGTCAAATGATTATTGCCGTTCGTCGTGGATTAAGCACCGTTGCACGTTGTCAGCGATAGAATTTCAGCCGCGGAAGCCTAGAACGACGAACACCGGAACAGCGACCATTTTCCCTCTGTACGGCTGATACCCATACAGAAAACTCGGGAAACAATAAAATAGCCCTTTTCGGGGCTTTACAAATTAAATCCACCCGAGCGCACTGGTCTCGGTCACGCTACCCGACCGGACTCCGGTGACAGACGCCACTTCATTTAAAGGACCATGAAACAAAAAAAAAATGATTTTTTTTTTGTACTTTTATATAATATTAGAAATGAAAACTAAATTGTTCGTCTTTTCAAAAAAATTATCCGATCACTCCTTCTGTGTTAATTAGCGATCGTACGTATACGCGTGACGTCACTGGTGCGCACGGATTTGTGCAGCCGTATTATTTCAAGCGGTATTTTACATGGCGTTTTATAAACACTTATTTAAAATGAAAACTACTACTCCTAAAATGGCGAAGAAAATATTAAGTATTAAGTTAACATTTATTGAAATATATTAATGCATTATTACAATGAGTATTTGAGTTTTACAGTTTACATTTAGTATAGACAGAATAGTATACATTTAAAATGGTGTACTATATTTCAACAATTAAATTATTTAAAAATGCTTAACTATTAGTTTATATTTTTAGAATCTTGTGAATTTTTTTTTCATTAAATCGTCGTAACTAGGTTTTGGTTGAAGAACTATATTGTTAGGTAACGCGGGTAAACTGAATTTTTCTGATATTGAATTATTTTCTTTCATATGAACATGGACTTCTTGCATAATATTTTTGCACCACTCATCAGTTTTATTTAATTCATATTTTTTTTTTATGACATATCTACTGGCTGGTTTGGAAAATACTATTTTCTCTCCGACTTCCTTTTTATTTACATTGTTATTATGATCTAGTATAGCAATGATACTTCTCATATACATACCTTTGTATTTTAAGTGAATACGTTTTGGCATATATTTTAATCGTAAATTGTGATACGACTCTAATCTACCAGTATGTACAAAATGAGTAGCATGTGTCAAATCCTTTAAAAAGTCTTTTGCCATGATAATTTTTTTCAAAGCGTAATATGATTCGCTTTCTGGGTCTATCCACAGTTTATTTCGTATTTCATTTTCATTTAATTTTTCATGCTCGCATCTCTTTTTTACACCATTATCTTCCCACTCATGCTCATTTGATATGTGTTTTAATATAGATGTAAATTTATCAATGAGTTTTTCTTCATCTCCTTCACATGTCTGTGCTGACCACCAAAGATGATTGTTAATTGACGATTTCCATAAAAAAGCATCAGGATATTTCTTTTCGAGTGGTTTTAATCTTTTCATTAAACTCTTACTTAAATGCCAAATATCGAATTCATGTTTAATATTTGGATGCTGTGTACGGATAAATGCACGTATACCTTTATGTCTATCTGTTAAAAACAACTCGATTTTACAATTACTACTATTAGTTAAATCCATTAGTAATTGTTCACAGGCTTGCCTTTCTAAATCCCCTTTAAATTGGCCCTTTTGAACTAATTTAAAATCTATGATTTTTCCCGTGTTGATATCCATAACTGAATAAGTACAGTACTTAGCACAAAAACCCGGTGAGTCATATTGGCCATCCCCAGCTAGCCAAATTGATGATAACTTTATAGCGTCGATGTTTTTTTTTCTGTGTTCTTCCCATTGGCGGCATATTACAGGAAATAAGTATTTATTTATAATTTTGTCATAAACTGGACGAGTAAAAATTGAAAGTTTCAATGCGGAGCAAAATACTTTAAATTGAGAAAATAGAATACCAGATAGTACTAAAGCCGCAGTAATCAAAATGTTTCCTTCTGGTCTCTTACCTGTTTTTGGCTGTGAACACCATTGCAATTTATGGCCCTGTTCACATATAGTTATAATTGAGACCAGTGCACCTTGTGTAAAATGTTGTCGAGAACAAACCATACTACCACATTGACGACAATATTCGAAAAGTTGGGATAAATTTTCCCAAAATACAATGAAACAACGATTATCATCAAAATCATTTTGCGTAGATAAATTGTTTTTGTAATGTCGATTATATTCATATTGGCTATCATCATCAGAGTCAATCTCAGAATTAGAACTTTCATCTTCGGATTCGGACGGTATATCAAATGACAAATTATCGTTCTTTTCTACTTTTTGATAAGTTTCTAGCCCTATATCACACTGTACACCTATATCATTGTGATTGACTCGTTCTTCAGAAAATTCTGATTGTAAACTACAGTCATTGGGTTCTAAACTGAAATCCGCGTTGCTTTGAATTACTTTTACTTTTTTCGGAGTACTTGTAGTTAATAATTCTGATGTGAACTGACTAAATTCTCTACGATCTGCCCTTTTATTACGTTCACTAAGTGTCAATGTATTATCTGTTGTACTACTTCTAATAGTAGGGACAACGTTGGGATTTAAATTTATTCTAACTTTTAAATCTGGCATCAGTTTATTTTTCATGATATCCGATTGATTAAAATCTTCAAATTTAAAATGTTTTGAACATAATCGTGAATTTCTTGTAGGAGTGAAATATTTTCGTTTGCAAAATTCAACCCAAACTTTATATCTACTAGGAGATTTTTCACGGGTTGGAAATCTATAAAAGTGTAGGCTGGTTTTACTTCTATCGCTTTCTGAACATCCATACGCTGAACAAATCGGCATTGTTATAAACGATCTAAATAAAAAATAATTTAACGAGTTATTGAACTATTGGTATACATGATATACATCGTTTTTGTTGTTGTATTTTTATAGTTGTATCAAGTTTTCTAAAAATAATAATATGAGTCTAAATAAAATGGTTATTAATTTGGTTAATTTAAACACGTAGTTTCATTGAAAATTCTAAAACCAGCATTATTTTATTATTAGTTGTGTTGAACGACAGAGCGATAGACGCAACGACGCAACGTACATAAGTGACTTATTTTTGTATGCAATATAATATTAATATTTTGTGTTGTGTAATTTGTGTTTAAAAAATGAGTTTAAAACCTTTCTGTTTTGAACCTACTGTGGAAGATATCGATAACAGAATTTATGAAGCACTACGAGTAAATCCAATACAAACAATAAACTATGTGGGAAGAACAGCAATACACCCAAGTAATTGGTGTTTGTGTAAAAAGTGTCCTATTTTGCAAACTGACAAAGAATGTATTTGTTGTTTTGAGTTCGAAAATATATCGAAATTGCATTCTAATATTAAATGCGTGATAGAATTATCATCTTTAAAAAAAATTATTATGGACGAAGAAGTTTTGAACATTACTAGGCAACAAATGATTTTGAAAACTAATGATGTAAAACGAAAAAAAATGCTTTCAACATTAAATCCGGAAAACAAAACTTGGAGATTTATATGTTACAAACAATTTACGCATTGGATAAATTCATGGACTGCAATAGGAAAAGGTAATTTATCTATATTTATTATTAATTAGTAATTATTAATTGTATCGTTAATACTTAATTTTATAGGAAATCGTGTATGTATTCCAGCATGTGTTGTACAAGCTATTCGAAATAAGTACCCTGAAAATAATGGAATATACGTAGGTTTCAAAGAAAACTACAGCAAATAAGAAACTTGAATAAATTTGAACTCTAAATTAATTGTAATAAATAAGTTTGAATAAGATTAGTGTAACTCAGTATTCATTTTATACTTTTTTATTTTTTATTATTCATAAAAACCTACATTATGATTATGTAAGTACGTCTATAATCACATATAATATACTAATAGGTACTATAGTATATTTAGTTATTTAAAATAATGAATAAATATCTAATACTAAATTTGTATTATATTATAATATAGGTTCTTTTATTTTTTGATCGATGGTTTATGTAGTTATTAATTATATTTATTTAAATGCTATAGTATTTTAAATCATAAATGAGCATACAAAACTATTTTATTTATTATAGTTAAGTTATGTTTACTAAAAATTAATTTAAATAACTTACCTCTAGCCTCTAATTATAATTTAATAGCAACTAAAAGCAACTGCGAATGACGGCTGAAGAATGACAAATGACAATAATATCCTATAGATCCTAGTTTGTTATTCATGTTATTAAAATGGAATTATCTAATATGATATAAATAACTTTTAATGTCAATAATAATAAATGATAATGATATTATATCGTTACAGAAATTAATTCAGTCTAATATTTTGTATATTTTAATGCATCATATAAATATCTACTGCGTAAAATAATACGGCGGCACAAATCCGTGCGCACCAGTGACGTCACGCGTATACGTACGATCGCTATTTAACACAGAAGGAGTGATCGGATAATTTTTTTGAAAAGACAAACAATTTAGTTTTCATTTCTAATGTTATATAAAGGTATAAAAAAAAAATCATTTTTTTTGTTTCATGGTCCTTTAAGAGGGCCTGACATCGAGGTACGTGTCCCCACCCGTATTGTAAATAACAAACATCCCCGAAGTGTATACGAGGACCTCACCCGACGGATCCTGAACCGAGATGCCAGACGTAACGTTCCTCACTCCCCTGACTGTACAATATTTTGTATAAATGTAAAATATAAACCAGACGTGATAACTAATTAAGTGTTATTATTTCGAACGCCGGTCCGTTGGCACCGTGCCGTTTCAGTGTTCAAAACCTTGAATCGATACTATAGAACGTGCAGCACTACAAAAGCAACGCATGAATTTAAATTTACAATTAGAAACTCCTATAGGCATAGTACTATTACAGCAGAAATTACTAGAAAATTAATCAATATTAAGAAATGGTTTTTATAATTTTAATGATTCTCACTGTTCGTCAATGTCTCATAATAATATCGAATAAATAATAATAATATATTAATACCAAATTCACCAATAAAACAATATATTATTATTATTAGGTACTAATACTATCATCATCAGAGACAGTCGAGGATCTATCTAAGAGCCGTCGCCGTTGTTTAACGACAACGTGTCATACCTGTGATGACTTGTTAATCACAAATTGTTAAATATTGTTGTCATCCTCTTCCCGCCACCGGATCACAGTAATGTTATGTGTATAATAATATATTGTATGTATAAATATAATATAAATAATATAATATCTGGCTACAACACGATTCCACAAATTTGCGGAATCGTGTAGATTTTAATAGCTATTGATAAGCATACACGTTTCCGCAACTTTCATATATATATATAAACGATTCCGCATAATTTTAAATGCAACGATGTCATACAATTGTCTGCTCTTGTTATTTTTGACTAATTAAATTTTTTCTTTAATTTTATTAAGTTGTTTGGATAGTAAAATGAGCAAGTGCTTCCATCTAGAGGGCTACAATCAATTGCTAAATATGATATAGTTTAAAGACATAAAAATATAAACATAATATGATACATAAAATAAAATAATAATGACCTTAGTACCTAGTTGAAGCCTTAATCAAAATTTAAAAAAATAAAAAAGATAAAATGTATTAAATATAAAAAAATATCAGTAATATTCTAAACAACTTATTTAAACAGTTAATATTTTCTTAGTTAAAAATTCATTAAATATAAAAAAAAAATATTAGCTAATAATTGATTATAGATAATTGATTATATTTATAAAAATATTAAAGTTTTCAAAATTTAAATTATAATTTGGCAACGTTGCATTTAAAATTATGTGGAATCGTGTATATATATATTAATGGCTATAGTAAGGCCAGCGAAACTAGACGGGTGATTTTAGCGCCCCCAGTGGCGTATTTTCGGTAGGGCCATCTACAATATGCATATAGCCCTACCGAAAAAACGCCACTGGGGGCGCTAAAATCACCCGTCTAGTTTCACTGGCCTTACTTAAAACTTACACGATTCCGCAAACTTGCGGAATCGTTCTCCACCGTATATCTCTACCTGTACGAGTGGTCGGCGGTGCGTACCATATTATTTACAATAGAATAACGAACCTACCGATTAACAATATATTTATGGGTACATTTTATCTACTTAGAATATTTTTTACTCAATAATATTGGATGGCTAGCCAAGGTACAGTTATAGATACTCGTTGTAAGATCATGTAACACAACATGTGTTACCACTTGACAGTTGACATATATGGTCGGTATAACGGGCAAGATAAGTAGGTACTTCAGAAAAAGGATTTATAGACACAATGTATAATAATATGAATAGATAGTTACATTAAATTATTGACCCCTAGATACATGATAAGACATACTTATTTTTTACCGAAACTAAGTGTTAGCATTGAAATTATAAATACTATAGATTGCTCACTGCTCGGTTTTTCGGTGGCGTACAATAAAACTCCCGGTAGATGGCGATAAGAACCAACAATACTATGGTACGGCCAGCGAAAAGTGAGCCATGACCGTTACGTTCCAAGTGGTGTATTTAAGCGCAATCGCATATAATAATTATGGAAGTCCTGATTAAATTCCAGCCACCATCACTTTGATTGATCGCGGTGCGGGGATAACTGGTTTTTATCGTCGCTAATTGTCGCCCCGTCTATATAGTATTTCCGCTTATACTCTGTTATCCAACGCTCCGACGCGACGTATTTATAAACACTAATAATAATAATAATTAAATTCATAATGTGTATATTGTTTAATATTAAATATTTAAAGTAGGTACGCATAATTTCTTATAGGACGTCATTGTTATTTGTAATTTTTGATTAACATTAGATTCTGAGCAGAGCAATGAATGTATTGATTTTACAATGATGTTTTTTTTTGTGTCCGTCATCACGTCAAAATTCTTCGATTTTCAACTTCAGTATCTTGTTCGACGGAAAAGAGAATTTATTTGGTACTTAGGGGATAAAAGAAAAAATTCCTAGTATTTTTCTAAAAAATTGGGATAAACAAACAAAAATTTAAGGAAAAAACTGAAATTTTAACGCAAAATAGGTTTTTAACAAAATCGATTTTGGTTTTTGATATGAATTTAAAACAAATTTCTGTAGATGCATGAAATTTTCACCGAATGTTTTTATTAGCATTTTATATGAACTATACAATTTTCAAAATATTTTGACTCGTGTTGATTTATTTATAAGCATATGCAATTATCGATTATTATTAGTTTTTTTAACTTAATGTCGATAAAAATTTATTTGTTGAGTAAAAAAGCTTGAAAATTTAATAAAAGGCTCCTAACATATTGTTACAATAGCAGTTGAAAAATATAAGAAATACATAGTCCCAAATTTCAAAGTTCGAATTTTGACAAAATACGTAAGAATCACGAAAATTTGTAAATTATTTTAAGCTAAAAATTGATGTGAATTTTTTTCTTAAATCTAAGACTTGAATATTAATTCAACTTACCGGTTACCATATTAATAATAATAATAATAATAATAATAATAATAATAAAATAAATGTAATATAAGATATCTTAAGCTGACAAACCGTCTCTGCTCAGAATGGTTTTTCGTATACAATGAATTTCATTGAATTAAAATTTAATACCATCTATTACAGTGACACACTGCTCAGCACAGCGGCACCCAATTGCCCGCTTCCCATTTTCATCCATGTACGTAAAAAGGTTATGGTTTTTGCTTATGGAGTAAAATGTTTGGCACCCTTTTTTGGTACATTGATAATAAATTGTTTTCAACACCGCAAATTGTTGAGTTTTTAATTTTTGTGCATATTTGGTCGATTGGTAATAAACTAATAACCAAGTATGTTTAACAAATGTTCTCACATCTCTTCATTTTGAATTATGTGTGACAAAGAATTAAAAAATCTTTATTTATATGTCTAAAAATCCTCAGTTTTCCTTGTTTTCCCAATGAATCCCAAGATTTCCTTAATAAAAATTGTCCAATGCACTTAAACTAAATAAATACAAATTATACACTACAGTAATACTGTAATACAGTGTACAAAGTGAATTACAGAAGTACAGAGTGCACATGCGTAATGAGTACAGCCTGCAGCTGCACTACTGCACTGCGTCCATGACAAAATATATAGGTATGTCAGCAACAGTATGAATTTTAATCTTGTATGCGCATCCCCACTTTTTCCTGTGTATTAGGTTCTCCGCTTTTCATTGGTCCTTATTATAAAGAACTTGGTTACCGCGTAAATATGAATCTACTTTGTAAAAAGTAGTTATGCCAATATGCCATTGATAAAATACTTTTTATTTTAATTTATCAATGGTTATGCTTATTATCTATACAATCACTATTGACTAATCAGAACTAATCGATTGATTATATTATTACATAAATATAATCCTGTTACTTATGTAACTTATTGCTTATCCTTCTCGTGATTTATTACTGTGACTCAATCATTTTATGTACATTATTATAATAAATTACATATTTTATTATAATGCCGGTGTGTGAGTTTTTTGGGTGTTTGAGTGGCAGCAGAAAAAAAGGTTTACCAAACTATCCAAAACCGTATTTGCACAGGTTTCCGAAAGATGCAGAATTAAGAATTTTATGGCAAAATCAAATATTACAAGGTCATCAGAATCTTAGACAAATTAATTTTAATTCAGGTAAATTTAAGTTATTATGTATTAGTTAAACATGAGAATTGGATTTTGTTAATTATAATAATTAAGTATGATGCATATGTTTTAAAAATAATTTGTATTTTAGCTGTAGTTTGCTCGTTACATTTTGCTCCATACCATTATAATGATAATGCTATGAATGCTTACAATTTAAGACCAGATGCAGTACCACTAAAGTAAATATTTTATTATATTATAGAGAAATAAACTGTTAGTTATTTTATTTTAATTTTTGAAGTTCTGATTTTGATGATAATGTTGAAAGTAGTACAAATGAATGTGATATGGATACAGACCATGGAATAGATGAAATAGTTTTGAAGTAATTTTTTGTTTAATATAATATCAATATTGAAATTCTTTTAATTGTATTAAACCTACCTATTAACTTGTCTTTTGTCTTATTTAGTCCAATTGTGTGTTTACCACCAGAGAGATTTACTACTCCAGTTCTACCACCATTAAAGACTACAGC